CACACACACACACACACACACACACACACAGAGTGTTTCTCAGAGGGCTGTAATATCCAAATCTTCAGCAGATTTTTTTTTCCTTCTTCTCAGTTCATCCACTTTTGTTTTCCTTCCTTCAATAAACAAAACAAATTGTCAGGGATATTAAACTGAAGTAATGCCATTTTCCTTCCTTATGAAGGGCGCATACTTTAAGATTTGTCAAGCAAATGCAATAAAAGGCACTTCTGCACGACGAGAACACACGCTGCCCCTTTTCCCCGTCAAGGAGGAGAAGGACTGAGAGGAGTGAGCGACGACTGATATGAAGACAGGGGAGGAGGACAGAAGATTGCTGTGGAATGTTTGCAGCTCTGGTCAGAGCTCGGCCATCTCATTTGTCAGGGTTTGACCCCAGCTCTGGGGTCAGAGGTCGGAGGGAACATCTGAGGGAGTCCGGCTCGGCTATCATACGCACACAGACACAAGTAAACACAGTAACGTGTGTGAGTGCCCCTCTTTTACGTTCACACATAATTCAAGCTGATGTTTTATACATCAGTACAAATCACTGTTATAAGTCATTGTCGGCTTATTTTTCTAAAGATTTTTGTGTTGACCTCTTTTTTTATAAAAGTATACGTGTAGTCATTGCCAGATTTAGAAAAAGCAAAGTATAGTCCTTTTTTTCCACAGTATGTCAATAAAAATGTTTATTCCTATGAAGTAAAACTTGAATTTTACTTGCTGAACATGCAAACTACGCACTTGATACAAAATAAACGTTATTGCAAGTCAAAACCACTGAAAATATACCAGAGATGAGAATTGTTTGCCTTTTATTTCATATTTACAACATAAATTTTTATAACTGTGAAGTGACATCAAACTCCTACAATAAAACTGCTTTGTGCGTCAGATTCCAGCTTCAGTCCTCGCAGCCCTTTGACGTGTCCCTCTGTGTCTCTGACTGCCAGGCCGACCATGCAGCTCTCCTCCTGCAAAGTTACAAACAAAGTCAGTTCCAAACAGTAAGGTTAGTTCAGCCCGCTCACTCACGCAAAAACTCTCTGCAAATTAAAGTAAAGACAAAGCGGGCGGCAACATTGTGGGTGGCCCGTTTCAGTGACCCACATAAACGCAGGACGCCCGTGAGTCACATCACATTTGCACGAAGAACAGCAGCTACACCTTGAGCAGTGGAAATATTGCAGCTAAGTCCAGTTTGTCTGAGTTGCACAAACTTCCATCAAATGGCTGTTGTTTTGGTTGCTCCTTTACACCTCTGTGTTAGAAACAGAAATCCCTTTTTTTATTGTTTTTAAAACACCTCATTGCTCTGATTTTCTCCTCCTGCATTAGACGAAGACAGGTAGCACTGTCGCTGGTATTTTATATGTTTTAAGGATGCATCGTAAATCGCACACCTTTTGTCATTCTCGGGCCAGAGACATCAAACAGGTGCAATGAATAATTTATCTTAAGAGTTTCACATTGATAAGGTCACAATCTGCCAGGTCTGGACACTAAACGCAGGCCATCTTCACTTCAGTGACGTTTAACACACGAGTCACACACCAACATTACACACACACTCTTTTTTATTATTTTTT